ATACAGTGAAACCCTTAATAACGAATACATCGAAAGAATTCATCAAATGTCGTATTCTTCACTTTCTGATAATGGAATGTTGTAGATATTTAGTTTTTTAATTAAATGATTATATGGAACTCTTTAAAACTGTTCCCCCATATTCATGGCTATTTATTTATTTTCGCAAACACTGAAATTTACGTAATATAGTGTAAACCCCATTGAAAAAGTGTCAAGACGACATTCGATAAATTCTTTCGATGTATTCGTTATTAAGGGTTTCACTGTAGTAGATTGTAGAAAGTAGATAGTAGATAGTAGATAGTAGATAGTAGATAGTAGATAGTAGATAGTAGATAGTAGATTGTAGAAAGTAGATAGTAGATAGTAGATTGTAGATAGTAGATAGTAGATAGTAGATGATAAATGTATAAAAGTCTGAGTGAATATCTGAGTGTAAGTAGGCTTCTGAAATACATATTTCTTGTGTGTATAAGAACGTGGTATAAAGATTAAATATATTCTATAAGAAAGAAGAAAGTTAGCTCAAATCTTTGATAAATGATAGAATGATAGACAAAGATATGAAAACCTGTAGATATATAGATAGAAAGATAAATAAATTTATAGATTGATAGATAGATAGATAGATAGATAGATAGATAGATAGATAGATAGATAGATAGATAGATAGATAGATAGATAGATAGATAGATAGATAGATAGATAGATAGATAGATAGATAGATAGATAGATAGATAGATAGATAGATAGATAGATAGATAGATAGATAGATAGATAGATAGATAGATAGATAGANTAGCGATTATATCTATTTACTAGAAAATGACAAGCAATAAATGAATTATTATTGTTATTAAGCTAAGTGCGCGATGTGCACATACTTTGTATTTATTGTTGTATAGTAGACATTAGAGACAATTATCCCCCTCCCCCCTCCCCCCCAACTATCTATCTATCTAATATTCCCCAGGAAAGATGAATGTGAATGGCCTCTGTGTTGGAGAATCATAACTAAATTATGACCTTTTCTTCGGCGCCATTACACAAATTAAAACACTTGCTATTCAGCGGCCGTTTAAAAATTTTCTTTCCGTCAACTTTTTAAAAACTTTTTTGATTTTTAATCAAGAAAAAATTGATTTTAAAAAGTTTTTAACAAATATGATCCGACATACTATTTCCCTGTTTGAATAAGTCGGAAAAATTATTTATGATTGCAGAATTCTTTATTATTCTCAAACTAAAACTTTTTATATTCATATTCTCAGTTTAACTTCTTTTGGGACCATTTCTAGGGGATATTTTGATTTATTAATGAAGAAAGGTTGCATTATAATTTAAACTATTTTTTGAAAATGCATGCCAGTACATAGACAAAGTTTGGCTGAATCTCTGTATTAAAAATGTTCATAGCAATAAGCACAATCCAAGCACTGTCGATCTTATGTTAGCATTATTATTTTCAACCCCTTTCAAGTCTAATTTAACACAGTCAATTTTCGCATGAAAGCATCACTTTCAATCACTTTTTAGTCTAATTTTACAATGTCAGGTACTTTCCCAAAGACATTTTTCCAAGAGGTAACTTCCTGGCCGCAGTGCTCGGCCTCCTAGCCTGTTCTTTTTAGTCTAATTTTACACAGTCAATTTTCTTTTATATTTTTCCAAATCATTCCTTTCTTTTCATCTCCCCTTTGCACTAAAGTTTAGTCCCCAAGAGAACTTCATCGTTCAAATTAATTAGGATTCCTCCCCCCCTTCTCTCCCTTTCCCCATCCTCCATTCCGTCCTTCCTTTCCTTGACTCCCCTTCCTTATTTCATCACCAACAACTTGAAAATTAAGAATTCAAATTTTCTTAATTCTATAAAACTTTGTAAATTTGAAAAGTCAACGATTTCTTGGAAATGAATGTTTCCAATTTTGTTGAGGAGAATTTTCCAATGTTTGAGATGTGAGTATCCCTTAAACAACTCAAGAGTTTTATTGCCGCCATATTGAAAATTGACAAGACAAACATGGCCGGCCGAACAAAGAAGGAAAATTTGATAAAATATTTATTAGATGGAGGCAGGGAGGGGAGAAGGATATAAGCTTTGTGTAAACGGGATATGTGATAAAACTACACATCTCTAGTAAATGCCCCCCCCCCCCCACGAAAAAAGTTTTAATTCTAGAGAAAAAAAAACATACCCCCTTGATAACTCCCCCAACCAACCCTACGATACCTTATTACAAAAATCTCACTTACAAAACTAACCATCCCCACCCCTACCCTCCCATTAATAAAACCCTACCAACCCACGACCCCCTCCCATAAACCTGAAGTTTCTGCGAGCAATGTATCCCTGAAGAGTTTGTATTCAATTTAGGAAATTGTTTCCTCCAGTTTTTAACAAAACAATTGCCTTTATCTTTAACATTTCTTTGGAATTCTTCTCACCAAACCCACCTTCTCCCTTTACTTTTATATCTCCCTCTGTACATCAATTTTCTGGTAGTTACATTTATGTCTCGTAAAGAAATGTAGTTACATTTATGTCTCGTATAGAAATGTAGTTACATTTATGTCTCGTATAGAAATGTAGTTACATTTATGTCTCGTATAGAAATGTAGTTACATTTATGTCTCGTATAGAAATGTAGTCACATTTATGTCTTGTATAGAAATGTCGTTACATTTATGTCTCGTAAAGAAATGTAGTTACATTTATGTCTCGTATAGAAATGAAAGCTATATTTGGACAGCGTAAAGGCATTTGGTTTATTTTTAAAAATGTTAAAACTGGGATAAAAAACTGCTTTTTCTTCTTACCATTAAGATTGATAGAGGATCCAAACATAGAGCTCCTTGGATCTTGATGACGTCCCATTACACTGTACTGTCCTCCACTGGGTGGCATACCTAAATATGTACATGTACGTACAGACATCAAAACTTAAGACAGGGTATCGTTAAGAAAACCAGTTTTGGAATCCGGGTTTCACGAATGGGGTTAGGCAGTTTTGTCGATATCAATATTTTTGTTATGAAAAATTATTTATTTAGTTTCTTCATATTCTATATTTTTTTCGAATTTCTTGAATCAAAATCTACACAAATGTTAAGGAAACTCTGGATACTCTTTTAAATTTTTGGCTCACTTGTATTATTAACTGTGCAATAAGAAACCCCTAACATTTTGTTTATACTGTCGATTAACCGAAATCATATTGAAATTATGATTTTTTGTTAGAATTTAAGAACAAAATATTAGTTTTGAGTTGAGAAAACTATGTTTAATAGTCTCATATTCTAACATAATTTTTTTTATTTCTGGTGAATTATGTGACTAAACCAACTATTACGTACTACACTAACCTGCTGGATTATAAACGCTACGCATCTGAGCAGCAGCTGCTGCGCTGCTTCTGTAATATTGACCGGCAGCGGACATCATCTGACCGCAGGAAGTCAAATCACTAAAAAAAACAATTTTAAATGTTTACTGCAGTTTCTGAATTAGATTAGAAAATTTAAAAAAAATTTCAGATTATATATTTATTGATGTCAATGCAGTGTTCGTGATAAAAGGTGGAATCATAATCAAATAATTATATTTTTTTAAATCGAAGCACTTGGGACAACTTTCGGAGCTTTTATAAATTAAAGAAGCATCAATTTAAATAAAATATAGCACAGATTTTACCGAATTTTATTTGAAGTCATTATAGACCTATAATCATTTTCTTTAACCAAGGCTGAATAAATTGCTTTTCCGTTTGTTTAACAGGGCATAAAGGAAAAAAACACTGATCAGTAAGCTTACTAATCAATTAAAGCGGTCAGATTAAAACAGTAGGAATATAATGTGTTTATGTTTGTACCTGTAAAAGTTACTTGGCTCTGTGACCGGCATGCCGGTTATATTGCAGCCGGTATCAAACCCAGGCTGTTGCAGGTAGGAGTACTCCATCATCAACAACAACAACAACAACAGGAGAAGGACGAGGAGAACTAGTCCCTTTAAAATATTCTAATTATTTTCAAATCTTTCCTTATTTTAGTTTTTTTTTTACCTCCTTTCAGATTATTTTTATACTTTTATAACAGTACGAAATACATATTAGAAATATACAATATACAATATACAATATACAATATACAATATACAATATACAATATACAATATACAATATACAATATACAATATGCAATATACAATATACAATATACAGTATACAGTATAGATACAAATATGGATTATGCTTGGATAATCAATGTAGTGTTAAAAAATTGGGAGATTTTAAATTTTGTTGTTTATTCTAACCTGTTGTCTAAAATTCAAATTGACGAAATTAAAACGGAAAGTTTAAGAGTATAAAATAAATATAAATCTTTTTATTATTGTTTTTAATTTTTGATTTTGAAAATTTTTGAATTTTAGTATAAGTTTTAAAATAATTATATAGAATTCAAATTGGAAATGATAAAATATCAACCGGGGTTAAGTTTTTAGAAGAACTTAAGAGCGTAAGATTATACTGGTAAAATCTTTAAGTATGCAGGATGAAAAAGTTTAAATGGAAGAATGACGCTTAAAATATTTACAAACTTTTTATATATATTTTTTTCACTGTACATTGTATTTAATGTTTTGTCTTATTCTATTATTGTTGCAGAATTTTAGTTTACGGCTTTTCAAAGAAAACATAAGATGAGATTGATCATACATCTAAAATATTAGTGTCGTCTACTAACAGTTAGATATCTGTGAGCTTACAGTTGTGTATACTAGTTTTGTTGATATATATCTACAGATGTGTCCTCTATTATGGTTGATATATATCTACAGAGGTGTCTACTACTATGGTTGATATGCATCTACAGATGTGTCTACTAGTATGGTTGATATGCATCTACAGATGTATCTACTAGTATGGTTGATATATGTATCTAAAGTGGCGTCTACTAGTTTTGTTGATATATATCTACAATTGTGTCTTCTATTATGGTTGATATATATCAACAGAGGTGTCTACTATTATGGTTGATATGCATCTACAGATGTGTCTACTAGTATGGTTGATATATGTATCTACAGTGGGGTCTACTAGTTTTGTTGATATATGTATCTACAGTGGTGTCTACTAGTTTTGTTGATATATATCTACAGATTTGTCTACTATTATAGTTAATATACAGATGTGTCAATAGTTTGGTTGATACAAGGTTATAATGCAAGGAAAGTTAATTGAAGTTGCGTATACTCTGCGTACATATTGAAACCAGTTCTCTCTGGGCGGAATTTGTAAGCAAGAATAGATGCATCATTGTTCGTTTAGTATCCGAGGAGGTTAAAAGCATCACATTTTGAAAATTTTGATAATTCACATAAAAGTTTCCTATGACCAGAATATTTCATTGATTTTTATGTGAAAGACATGGATCCCATGTCAGGCTTCGACATCCGTCTTGTGTTTGCATTAGCGCCCAGAGACAGTAAATTGCAGTACAAAAGATGAGTACACCTCTGAAATAACTTTCCTTGCATTGTAACCTTGGGTTGATATATATCTAGAAAGGTGTCTATTAATATGGTTGATATATATATCTACAGATATTTCTCCTATTACGGTTGATATATATCTACTGATGCGTCTTTTACAAGCATGGTTGTTAAATATCTACAAAAGTGTCTACTGGTATAGTTGATATTTAGCTACAGATGTGTCTATTAGTATGGTTGTTGTATATATATACAGAGGTGTCTACTAGTACGGTTGATATATATCTACAGATGTGTCTACTACAAGCATGGTTGTTAAATATCTACAAAAGTGTCTACTGGTATAGTTAATATTTAGTTACAGAGGTTTCTACTAGTATGGTTGATATATATATACAGATGTGTCTACTAGTATGGTTGATATATGTATCTACAGATATGTCTACTAGTACATATGTTTGATATCTACAGATGTGTCTACTATGAAGTATAAAACCTACCTGAAGCCTGTAAGGCCGAGAATATGAAAGCAGGCCGCACTGCACCCAGTTATTAAATCCTTTATAAAATTATCTGCTGAATAAATCTCACTATAAGATTGTTAGCTGAAGTAATTGAATGAGTTCTATTGAATTATATCTAGGTCTGAAGCTTGATAATATAGTTAGTATACTCCTGCTCCTGTCTACCACTGCACACCCAAATCAAATGAACTCTGGGATAATTCGATCAAGGATCCAACTTGGCTCAGCTAGCTCCGCCCTTTACCCCCGGAGCTCCGGGATATTTACCCGGGATTCCCCCCTCCACTTTTCCCCCTCATGGAACTAGAGCAGTGCCCCCCCCCCTCCCATTCCAGGGGGAATTCTCTCGGAACATTGGGCTCCTGCAACCTTTCCGAGATAAGGCTTAACATTTTTTCAGTTGAGGGGGTTGGAGGAAACCAATATAATGAAGGAGATTACTGAGAACTTTTATTCGAAGAAATGCTACAAATTCGTAATTTAACAATCTCGGTTAATCTCCCCAGATTGGGAGAGAATGAGTTTAACACATTCTGTCTGTTTTAAAAGTTCCTAGCTTAAGAGTAAAAAAAGAAAACAGCAGTTTTGTTAAAAGTAAAGCAAAACGCTCAAAAAGCGAACACACCTAAATCTTTTTTTGAGCGTATACAAATTACGTTTGATAGTTCAATCACAGATACGATGCTATATTGATTGGACTAATAACTGATTGAACTTTTAAAATTCAGTGATGGTGATGGACCAAACCTCTGTAGAGTAAAAAAGTAGATGTTAGTTCCACATTGATTGAACTAAAGTCAGCTGTTCACAAGCCGGCGTTTAACGCATTCGAACAAATATAAATTTAATCATGTTTATATGAACTTATTAAAAAGCACATTTTTTTTCATTTGTGAATTATAGTAATTTTCAACTTTAGTTTTAATAAACATTAATCCAAAACTTACATTCGTTCAATAGATCATTAGTTCAATTGATATGACACCATCAACACCAGAAATGGACTAAAATTAAAAAATAGATAGATAGATAGATAGATAGATATATATTTCGGCTAACATTATAATAAATGCATTTTACATTTTATAATTTTTTTACTAAACAATTATTAGCCAGGGCTACAGCCTAACCATTTCTGGTTGTTTTGATTGGCTGGCCCTCCAAAGTTTTATAGATACATTTTATTTTTAAAATTAACAAATAACGAATACATTACACAATTCACAAAGTATTTTTTAAAAAAAGGAAAAAAAAAGAAGGATGGGTGAATAGCAAAGGGAAAAAGGGAGGAGAAGGAGAAACCCCAGCACTAAAAAATCCAAAAATGGTTTATTGAAAGTTAAAGAGGGCAGAATTTTAAACTTCTTTCTTGGATATCGAATGCGTATTAACCTAATCTCGGGTTTAGTAAAACTAGGAGATCAAGCATTGATCTTGATAGCCATCATTCTAAAGTTTTCCGCTAAGGATACATTGTAAATTTATACCGATACACTGTGCAGTGGTGCAGTACTGTACACTTAGCAAACTGTTTTATCTCAGTAGTGTTTTTCTAGGTATACTCACTTTACTGGGATTAAAGAAAATGAAGCACACAAAATCAATGGTACAGGATCACCCGCAAAGGATGAGAGATGAGAGTATTTTGATGTTTTAATAAAAAATTAAGCACAGAAATATGCCAGTTTTGGCCTACAATGAACCCTAAATGCAAGAAAATGGACTCAAGAAATTGCGTTCAATCGGCTGTGCAGTCTCATTCTTTGTGGTTAACCCTGTAGTACAATCTTAAAATAATTTTCGTGATTAAGAAATAAAATATCCGTCAAAAATAAATAAGGTTGAATTAAAAAAATATAATAACATCACCTCTTATAGTAGTATAGTTTATTCATAAGCAGAATTAGCAGTGAAATTTAAAAAGTATACTTAGAGGAAAAAAGTATAATTTAAAGAAGTTTTTCAAAAAAAAATTTCATTTTAAATAAATACTATCGAAGAAATAGTACAAAATCCAGAAATACACAGTGCATGCAGAAGATTTTATTTAAGTTAAAGTTAATGTACAGTGAAAAAAGACAGTACAAAATAAAGGAGTAAAGTGCACGTATATGCAGAGTAACTAATACAAGTTAAAGAAGTACTGCACAATGTACAGTGAGAAGAGACAGTACAAAATAAAGGAGTAAAGTGCACGTATAGTCAGAGTAAACAATATAAGTTAAAGAAGTACTGCACAGTGTCATGGAGATTAAAAAGTGCAAAGAAAGAGGTACAGTGCATGCATACAATTGAATTATTAAAACGAATAGGAACAAGGAAGTAAAACTTGGAAGAGGGGAAGGAAAAGCAATCGTTTTATAGAATTTGAAAAAACATTTTCTTGATGAAAATAAATCATTAAAAATGCACCATTCCGCATTATTCCTTTCCCCTTACTGCATCTTTGCTCTTGCCCTTGAATTATCTCTATAATACGTTGATTATTAATAAATTGAATTATTGTATCTGTATATATATATATATATATTACCAGATATATATATAAAATCAATTAGATTATTTTGTAAGTCCATTAATGTATTGCATTTGTAACATTAATTGAATATTTTTACCGAATATTTCTAGGGTAAACTCGCCTTTTCCTCCAGAGCCCCGAAGAATTAATTTTTCTATTCAAATCCTCTACAGATAGCCGTGGAAAT